GAGAGAGAGGAGGAGGAGGAGGAAGAAGAAGAAGAAGAAGATGATGACGAAGAAGACGAAGAAGAAAAGGAGGACGAGGAGGATGGGAGGGGAAGTGAAAGGGCTGGGGAGGAGGAGGAGAAAGGCGGTTGGGAAGTGGGGGGCAGGGTAGAATGGGAGGACAGGGCAGCAGAAAGAAGCAACGAAGGTAGTTACCCTTGCTGACGTGGGTCTAGACAGCGCGAGGGACGAGGAGGGAAAGGGACTGACTCAGTGGCGATTGCAGTGGCTGGGAGAGTCAAGAGCAACTTGGAGGCGCTGAAAGGTGAAAACCTAGCTCAACGTCTCTTCCTGGCTAATGCGCGAGTAAGGCAAGGTCCCGGGAATCATCGCCATCTCCTTCGGGCCCACCTTCACCACCGACCGCGCGCAGGGCTTCACCCATGCCCTCGTTGTGGACCTAAAGGACAAGGAGGCACTGCAGGTATGAGAAGATCGCTGCTCCTCCTCCTCCTCTGCTGCTGCTGCTCCATACTGCTGCTGCTGCTGCTGCTATGCTGCTGCTCCTCGTCCTCCTCCTCTGCTGCTGCTCCTCTTCCTCCTCCTATGCTGCTGCTGCTGCTCCTCCTCCCCTCTTCCCCCCCCCCCCCCTCTGTTGCTCTCCTTCTCAAATGACAACCATCAAGGCATACGGGCCCCATCCAGAGCATGTGGAGGTTCTGAACAACGACCTGAAGCCCAACATGGAGCAGCCTCCGCTTGCCATGGACTACGAGTACGAGGGCTGACTAGCTTGCCGCCTGTGAGAAGTTTGGGCGCGGGGAAGAAGCATTGCACGAAAGCTTCATTGACAGGAGGGAGAGAAGGAGGGGAGGAGTTGGAGCACAGCAGCATAAACAAGGGCTCGCCATGTAGTCCATCACGACACGACTGCCTGCTCCTTGTCCTTCACCATGGGCCGTGAGAGAGGATCGCATTTCCTCGCTCCCGACCCCCAGTACTCCGTTGCCGCAACCTTGATCCCCTTGGCATCCGTTAGGATACCAGCCTGCACTGCCGTCCCCCACGCCACCGCCTGGTCGGGGTCTACCTCCCAGTTGGGCTCCTTGCTGAAGAAGTCTCTCATCATCTGCCGGATGTGCGGGACCCTCGTCGTCCCCCCGACCAGCACAATCTGGTCGACCTCATGCCTCTCGTACCCGCTCAGCTGCAGCACCTGCTCGACCGGCCAGATGGCTCTGTGGAACAAGGTTCCCCAGATCTTCTCTGCCTCCACCCGGCTCAGCGTCCTCCTGTACTCGCGCCCTTGGAAGAAGTTGTGGATCGCAATTGTGGCCTCGGAGGAAGAGGAGAGCGAGATCTTCGCCTGCTCCACCTCGTGCCGAAGCATGTCCACAGCCGCGGAGTTCTCGATAGCCGACAGTCCGGACTGCTCCTTGAACTCAGCGAGCAGGTACTCCAGCAACTCCCCGTTGAAGTCCTCGCCCCCAAGATGCTCGTCCCCGCAGGCTGCGACCACCTCGAACACTCCTCCTTCCAAACGCAGAAGGCTGACGTCTAGAGTCCCTCCTCCGAAGTCGTACACCAGGATGTTGGCTGCGGGCATCTGTTGAAGCCCGTAGGCGAGCGCCGCGGCCGTGGGCTCGCTGATGATCCTGAGCACGTCCAGCCCCGCCTGCCGTCCAGCTTCGATAGTCGCGTTTCTCTGCTCCTCCGTGAAGTCAGCTGGGACGGCCAGCACGGCCTTGAGCACGGGGCGACCGATGTAGTTCTCCACCTGCTTCTTCATCTTGCGCAAGACATGAGCTCCGACGGCTTCCGGCGACATCACGCGCTTCTCCTTGCCGACCTCCACTTGGATGAACGCGCTGCCGTTCACGTCCACCACGTCGAAGGGCACGAGCTTGCGGTCATGCTGTACCGTCTCCTCGTTGAACCGATGCCCGATGTAGCGCTTGGCGTCAAAGATGACAGAGCGAGGATGCAGCTTGCCGTACTCGCGTGCCTCGTACCCCACTAGCACCTCCTGGTTGCGGAAGGCGACGACGCTCGGGGTCAAGTTCCTGCCCTGCTTGTCTGGCACGACCTCGACAGACCCATTATGGAAGAGAGCGATCACAGAGTAGGTAGTGCCTAAGTCGATCCCGACGACGCCTGGCTTGGGAGGAAGAGGGTTGAAGACTGCAGCAAACACAGCAGAGAGCACCACTGAGAGGATACCCCCGGTTATAAGCAGCTCAGTCTGCATGGCTGCGTCCTCTCCTCAAGAAGGCTCTTTGTACACCTTGGGAACTGCAAGCTAAGTCAGCAGCGGTAAGCAATTCCGATAGACCAGGGAAAGGCTATCGTTGACAGTCTTTCTGACGGCAATAGCCCTGTTCTATCATACCCGCATGAACATACTTTTTTAAACGTTTTGTGGTTAGTATCGTTCGAAGCTAATTTCACACAGCATTTCCATCTCCATCACTACCTCCATTCTCTGTTCTCACCATGATCGCTTATTCCCTCTCCCTTCCTCCCTCGCCCCCCCCTCGCCCTCGCCCTCGCCCTCGCCCTCGCCCTCGCGCTGTCTCTGTCTCTGTCCCTGTCCCCGACCCTGTCCCTGTCTTTGTCCCTGTCCCTGTCTTTGTCCCTGTCCCTGTCCCTGTCCCTGTCCCTGTCCCTGTCCTTCTCCCTCTCCCTCCTTTCTTTGCTTTTCTCGCATTCTTGCCATGGCGGCCTCCCCGTCACAACGTGTGGTTGGCCCGCCTCCAACTCAAGTACCCCACCCTACTGGAAACACTTGCACCGCAGACCTCGATGGGGTATCGGCAAAAGGGGGTACTTTCAATGAGAAAAATAGGGGTACTGGTGTCACTGGTAGGGGAACCGAAAGTAGGGGACGAGGGCCATGAAACGGCAACGGAAGGAATGCAGGGAGGAACGAGCCTGAGATGAGAGGAGATGAGATGAGAGGAGAGGAGAGCGGAGGGGAGAGGGAGATGGCAGATGAGAGAGGAGGAGAGAGGAGAGGAGGAGAGGAGGAGAGGAGGAGAGAGGAGAGATAAGAAAGATGAGAGAGGAGAGAGGAGAGGGGAGAGAGGGGAGAGCGAGGGGATAGAGGAGGGACGAGAGACGTTTGCAAGGGGAGTGGGAAGGAGAGGTGGAGAGGACTTGTGGAGAGGGCGAGTGTACGGATGAGGAGGGCGAGATGGATGGATAGAACATGCAGGAGGATGAGGATGATACGACGAGGATGATACGTGGAACAGAAGGACCTGCAGCTTCAGGACAATGTCCGAAAGTGGGATCAGGTAGCAACGTGAGGTGCAGAAACAGCCAAGTGTGGAGGAAAATAGCTGGGCAGGTAGGATGCGCAACGTTGAGATGTGTAGAATTTCATGCTGGTGCATGCGAGGAGGGCGAGACGAGCAGAGCAGACAGCATCTGATCCAGACGACTTTCTTGCTCTAACTAGCATCTGATCCAGACGACTTTCTTGCTCTAACTCCTGCTCTCAGATGTTAGCAACTGTTGCAAGCACGAGTTGGGCAAGGAAGTAGAAGTCGCCATGTACCTGCAGAAGAACATTCCGACGCCATCCTTCGGCGTCGCCCCCGATGCTCGCAAGGACAAGCTCGACGAGCTGATAGAGAACTCCAACAAGAACGTGAAGGTTCTCTCCGACGAGGCCATCACCGCTGCTCCAGACCTGAGATCGCTCAAAGATGCGTTCCTGGAGACAAACCCCATGTTTCAGGAGATGCTGCACGCCCTGGAAACCTTCGACGCGTCAATGCGCGGGGAGGGTCAGGTGCCGTCCAAGTACGACCAGGCTGTCTTCGCTGCTGTGAGGACGATGCTTCGAGAGTGTCTCTTCACCAAGAATGCTGGCATGCGGAAGAATCAGATCGAGCGAGTCTACTCCTGGTATCAAGAAAAGAACTCCAAGAACCCTCAAGGCAATTCGTTCGCCGTCCTCAAGGATAGCACACCAGCGGCTAAACCTCTTGCCTCCTCCTCCCCCACCAGGCCGAAGCCTTCCACTGCCTCTGCGCCCTCCATGAGGGTCAAGGAGCGGAGGTTCTCCAGCTTTCAGGAGCAGGAGCTCCTGCCCACAGAGGCAGCAGCGGTGCTGCAGCAGACCGACTCCCCTCGAGCCCCTCACAGCACGCAAGAGGGTCTAAAGGCGATCCCTCCCTCTGAGAGGATCAAAGAGTTCAAGATGCGGAACCTTCGTCTGTCTCAGATGCTGCGGCAGGGTATCCCTTTATCCTCCATCCGGGCAGCTGAGGAGGCGGTGAAGAAGCGATCGGCGATGCACAAGAGCCCCATGCTCGATGACGGGCTGCTGTTCATTGACACTGAGCAAGACAAGAAGAGTGCGTGCCAACTCTCCCCACCTCCCTTGCATACCTTTCTTTACCTCTCCTTCTCTCCCCTTCTCTCCTCTCTTCTCTCCTGCTCTCTCTTTCCCCTCTCCCTCCCTCCCTCCCTCCTTTTCCTTCCCTGCCCTCCTTCCTTCCATTTTCTCTCGTCCAGCTCTCCTGTCTCTCTCGTCGTGCCATTTCTGTTAACTCTGTGCCTCCAGTCCACGAGCTGTGGCTGAGGAAGCGTGAGGAGGAGGAGATGGAGAGAAGGTCCGAGAAGGAAGTGCAGGAGGCGATGGCCTGGTGGGCCATGAACCGAGCCAAGATCGAGGAGGAGGTTGCGCGACGGCAGGAGTCCGTGCGATTTGCCTCCCAGACGGCCAGCCTACATGCCCGACCCACGTCCTCCACAGCGGTGAGACTGAATCTCTTCCTTTGCTTTCCAGGTTCTGACGCTCTCCCCTCCTTCGTTCTTCAACTTCCTCCTTCCCTCCGGGCTCCTAATCCCTTCTCTTCGCGCTCCTCTTCCCTCTCCCTTCCCTCCTCTCTATCCATCCTCTCCTCCTCCCTCCTCCTCCCTCCTGCTTCCTCCATCCCTCCAGCCCTCGGCCAAGGCCAGCGCACATCCTCCTTCTTCTCCGACCGTCTACTCGGGCATCGACTCGGATTCCGACGACGAGGGAGTCGAGGTCATCGAAGACCTCATCCCCGCACAGCCCCTCCCGGAGAAGTTCCTCAAGGTCCCCCAGCTCAAATCCCCTTACGACGGGCTGCGCCAGGCCTACACACCAGCGGGCTGGCCCCAGGACTCACTAGCTCGGCCCATCTCAGCTCGGCTGGCAGGTCATGATCCAGCTGGGAACCACCTCTTTAGCTCGCCCTCCAACAAGAACCTCCTTACCTTCTCTTCCTCCTCCAGACCGCACACGGCTGGGGCCCGAGTTGCCGCCCACATCTCAGCCTACGACGAGGCCAAGGGCATCCCCCAGCAGAGCAAGGGGGAAGGCAAGGGGGAACACATCCAGCTGCATGGCTTCTTCTCTCCGCACAGCTCTCGCCCTACCTCGTCCTACAGGTTCTCCTTTCTTGCCCTTCTCCTCCCTCCCTTCCTCTACCTCTGTTCCTCTACTTCTCCTGCTCCCTTCCTCTACCTCTGTTCCTCTACTTCTCCTCCTGCACTCCACCACTCGCTCCTACTTCCCCCCTTGCCTCCGCCGCTCAAGTATACCTACTCGCTGTCAATCAGCTTACCTGATGCTTGTCCCCTCACTCCCTTGCTCGTCTCTCTTGCCCCCCCCTGCTCGTCTCACCTTTGCTACAGGCAGTCGCAGGCGCCTACAGTCCGACAGCTTTCGGCTCGTCCTCGCACTGACCGCCCCTCCTCCGCCGTCTCCTCTCGGGCTGTTCAGCTCACCGAAGTCGATCGCATCAAGAGAGCCTTTGCCAAGACCAAGATCTCCTGTCCTCTCAACGTCATCGAGAAAGCTCTCGTTGTGCCTGAAGACAGGTTCTCCTCCTCCTCCTCCTCCTCCTCCCCCTCCTCATCCTCCTCCTCATCCTCATCCTCCTCATCCTCATCCTCCTCATTCTCCTCCTCCTCCTCCCCCTCCTCATCCTCATCCTCATCCTCATCCTCCTCATCCTCATCCTCCTCATCCTCCTCCTCCGCCTCCTCCCCCTTCCCCTCTCCTCCTCTTCTCCTCCCTCTTGGCTGCTTCGCTCACCTCACAACCACCTCAGGTCGTACGCCAAGTGTCTCGAGATGCTTCCCAGGCCCGGTTGGAACCTTATACCCGACCCGGTGCTGGCAGAGAAGAAGAAGGCGACTAAGGGGAAGAAAGGAGGGAAGACCAAGGTGAGGAGGAGGAGGAGGAGGAGGAGGAGGAGGAGGAGGAGGAGGAGAGGGAGGAGGAGGAGGAGGAGGAGGAGGAGGAGGAGGAGGAGGAGAAGGAAGGTGGGTGGGAAGTCGAGTAGGAAAAGGAGAAGGGGAGCGGGGATGGGGAAGGGATGGGGCGAAGTGTAGGAGGAGTAATGGGAGGAGGAAAAGGGAGGAGAGTTTATGAGACTATGCTGATGATTGGACAGGGGAAGAAGGGGAAGAAGAAGAAGTGACGCGCAAGGAAGGGAAGGGAGGGAGGAAGACGATGTATGATGGCGATACTATGCGATTTGTTATTGAGTTTCAAATGTAACTTAACCTACATTCTTTACCTTCATTTCATTCTTCAATTACTACCTCCCCCAGCCCTCCTGCTGCTGCTGGTCTCTCCTCCTTTCCTTTCTTGCCTTCAGCCTCTCCGGTACGTGAGGATCGTATTCCTTGCCGCCTGGTGCAGCTGCTGCGACACGTCACTGTCGGCGAAGTTCTGCCCGAGCATGTCGATGCCCACGGAGGTTGCGATGAAGACGATGTAGAGGAGGAGGAGCGAGCTTCCGAAGATCCTCCCAGCCTGGAACCTGTTGAGAGCCATGAGAGCAACCGCGAGGAGTACGGAGAGGAGCATGAAGGAGAGGCAGCAGAGGAGCTGCACAGACATGTAGAGCCTGTAGGGGCTCTCGATCATCATCGTCCCCATCATCCCCGACAGCCCCAGCCCAAGCAGGATGTTCATGAGCGAACATCCCACGCAGGCCCCAGCTGCCATGGCCGGCAGCCCCGCCTGAGCGACCCCGACGCAGGTGACGAGGTCCTGCATGCCGATGCCGACGGCGAGGATAGTGACGCCGAGGATGAGGCTGCCGAACTCGAAGACGACGCCGAAGGCAAGGATGACGTTGACGATCTCTCGTGCTGTGATGTAGATCCACACCAGAGATGCCCCGAAGCCAACGAAGCCGATGTAGCGATGGAAGGGAGGGGGAGAGCTGTCTGAGGAGGCGATGTAGGTGGCCAGGGAGAGGAGGACTCCGATGAAGGCACCGACGGAGAGGATGAGGAGGAGGGAGGAGGGCTGGTAGATCTCCTTGGGAAGGCCCTCCTGGAAGAGGACAAAGGTGATGAGCATCAGCGGGAAGAAGAGCATCTGAACCGACAGCACGGGTCTGATCCACCCCTGGTTGGGAAGCTCCTTGTCTACTATCGGCACAGTCAGCTTGAGGAGGATGACGATGGGAGCGGCGATGAGGTCGAGGACCAGCCTGTACCATGGCACCGAGGAGAGATCCTCGTCGAAGGGCCACATGAAGCGAAAGAAGAGCTGGGAAGGAGTGTCAGACGAGTCCAGCAGCCGCTCATAGAAGGTGAGTCGCTTCTGCGTGTCCGCAGAGTGAGCGGAAGAGTTCACTTTGCCCTTGTCTCCGTTGCTCTCAGCGTCTTGGGGCGCCACCTCCTGCTCCTCCCTCCCGATGGGCTCCATGCCAAAGAGCGGGAGGAGGTGATCAAAGTAGAGGACGGTGAGCACGTAGCAGACGTAGATGAGGATGCATGCGACCCCTTCGTAGAAGTCGATCTTTTTGTCCACCAGGATGATCATGGTGAAGAAGATTGAGATGGTGTAGAAGAGACAGTCTCTCACGTACTCCCCGCTGTGCATCTTGAAGGGCGACAGGATCGCGATGATGCCTTGAACGGCGCAGAACACAAACATGCCGTTTCCCAGCACCTCCCCGACTGCCAGCTCCATTCCATAAGGCCCGCTCAACGTGGCCGCCAGCATGCTGAAGAGGTCGGCACAACCGTTGCCGAAGGCGAGAAAAGTGACTCCAGCGACACTCTGACGGAGTTGGCAGAGGTCGGAGATCGTGTTCAACGCTGGGATCAAGAAGTTGACCTGGGCGGTCAACCACACGAAGAGGATCGCCAGCCAAACAAGCAGCAGCACCGCTCCTGCCTGGGGGACGCGTCTGAGGAAGCAGTATGGAAGCTCCTGAGGCGAAAGGTCAGTTGCCAGCCCCACAGGCTCTCATGCTCTCACCAGGTAGTTGACGAGCCCTCCATGAGGACCGCAGTGCTGCTGCACAAAGCGACAGATCCTGACCTCAGCCTCGGGATCATCCGCCGCATCGTTAGCCACGGCAGCGACTTGTGCGCAAGTTAGCGTCCTGATGTACTTCCTGGAGGAAGAGAGGTTTCCCACGACGATCTCTCCTACCCCGATGACTTCTATCGTGTTGTTGTTTCCTTCTGCTGTGTACGCGTACACTGGGACATGCTCGCCATCCACGGAGATGTTTCCGATGACCACTCCTCCGTCTCCTATGGCGTCCCCTACGTCGAAGAGGCTCGAGGGGTTCACCCCCACCAGCTCTGCTCCAGCCATTTCGTCCAGTCTTGTCCCTGACGCCATCTTAAAGGGAAGGTACGCCTGTTTGAGCTGTCTGACTTCCCTCGCCAGCTGCTGCTCCCGCAGGGATCGATGGAACCTCTCGCGTTCCAACCCTCGGACCTTACCCTCCTTGTGCTCGAGAGTTTGTAGAATGACTCTCCTCAACGTCTGCCGGCTGCTCTCCAGCGCTTGTCGTGTGCTATCCGCATTCGCCGATATTACGAGAATGGTCGAGAAGAGTACAACAACACGGGAAAGAGAGCTGCACATGAAATGCAACGACATAGACATAACAGTTAATGGTGGGGAAGGAAGAGCTGATGTGCGACAAGAAAAATTCTGTTCAGTAACAAGCAGGAGAAACAGTAGGATGAGCAGGATGAGCAGGAGGAAGAAGGAAGGAGGAGCAGGAGGAAGGAGGAGGAAGGAGGAGGAAGGAGGAGGAGGAGCAGGAGGAGCAGGAGGAGTAAGAGGAAGAAGGAGGAGCAAGAGGAAGAAGGAGCAGGAGGAGCAGGAGGAAGCAGGAGGAGCAGGAGGAAGCAGGAGAAGCGGCGCCTCAACACTGCATGGCCGAACGGTCGTCCGAATTTAGATAGGATTAGGTCCTAGAAATCATAGGAGCCCCCTAGGACCAAGAGTGGAGGAACAATCGGAATGGGGGTAGGGGTGGCGGAGAAGTAGAGGAGTCGGGAGGGAGATAGGGGTACAGAAATGGGTCGAGATGGGGTAGAAGGGAGGAGGGGAATGTAGACAG